AATAGCAAGATCCACACCAGATTTCTTGACTCTGGCTTTCTAGAATGACCATTGGGCATGCTTGCCAACACCAGTTTAGGGTGACCAAGTTAGGATGGTTGCAAACAGTAAGCTTTGGAAATGGGTCATCGTCTTTCCCCTTCTGTCTGCTTCTCTTCTTTCCTGTCTCAATGCATCTCTCTCCTTCTGAGTGGAAAGGAAACTTAGAGACTTCGAGGTATTGTTTTGTGGTGTATGTAAGTTTAAATGCTTATTTTGCAGTATGTATATTGGATTTATTTCTGAAACTTAGGAAATTAAATTCAAACTTTAAAACTTGAAATGGTATCAAACTGCAATACTAACAGGCAGCTCAGAAATCTTCTCTTAGAGTATCTAGCTATATCATCAGAATGAAAAATTGAGATGCTTAAGTCGTTTTATTGCAGTGTAATATAAATTACAGGTGAAGCAAATTATAGTTGAGTGTTGGGCCTTAGCACCATCCATAATTCTTAGGAAAGAAATCAGCCAAACAGTGGTTATTGAATCAAAGAAGATATGACATTAAATAGATGAATTTGCCTCGACTGTGAAATTCACCAGGGGGACAGAGGACCCAAGGCTGAGCTCAGATTGGCAGAGTTGTGGCTTTGAGGGAAAAATGGACGTAATCTAGGGTTAGGACTCCAGTCTTTGGTAATCAGCTGCTACACTACTGTCTAATTTCTTTGTGACTGGTCGACCCCAGGTAGCTCCTACAACCCAGGTGCAAAGCAGTGAATCAGTCCAAAATAAGACCTTGGATTCCCACTTAGTGCTTATTTTTGTGACTTTCTGAACATATTTTGTAAACTTCTGCCAGGGCCGATGGTCTTTGACACTCCTCTGCACTAAGTTATCAGGGCAGACCCCACTGCATTTGCCTGTCTGCCTGTTGACTTGAAACATTTGGTTTAAATGGGCCCTGATAAAAGTTTTCAGATTTTAAGCCTTCCATGAAATCTGGAAAATAAGGAAAGGTTTAAGAAAGAAATGACAGCGTTGTGAGATATCTATAGTTAATAGAGAAATGGTAAGATGTTTATACTCCTGTCCTCCAAGACAACATCAGCTGTTAAATCTAACTTGTAATACTTGCCCGCTCTTGGTTATCTGCCAGAGACACACATGCCCGCTTTGGTTACCCACCGCACTGAGTAGGGGGGCTGTGGAGAACGGACGTTCATAGCCCTCAGCTGGGTCCTGCAGGACTCCTATTGGGTGATCAGAAGGAGGGAGGTGGTGGGGCTTACCTTGCTCTGTGACTTTCTCGACTGCCGCTTTCCCTCTAGATTCTCTATGCTCTCTGGTCTCACGTACGTTCCTCTCTGACACCACCCTGGACTGGGACTGTGATAAACATTTCTGGTTTTCTTCCAGTTATCTTGGGTTCCAAATGAAGTTTAATGTAGTTTCCTTAAATTCTGCTGCTACTCATGTCTGTGGAAGAAACAGACCCAAGCAAGAGAGACACAGTGTAGGCATTCAAGGTGGAGATTTCAAAAGGCTATTTATTCATTTCAGTTTAATTGATTCCACCCTCTTGCCAAGGTCTTGGTTTTCCTAAAACCTATGCCTTGTGGATGGAGAGTCCTTTATGAATCGCCTTTCTCTAGCTTCATGTGCAACAGAAGCAAAAAGCAAAGGAACAAATAAAAACATTAGAGGTGAAGGCATCACACAGAAAGCTTTGTTCCGCTAACTTCTCTACAGAACTTGCCATGGCCTTGGCAAACAGTATTCTCGGCAAGAATAGGCTTGATATTTTGGAGAGGCAACGCGATTCAAGTTCGCCATAAAGCGAATTATTTTCCAGAGATGTTATTTCAATACTGCCAAGTGAGAAGTACTTGCTATTTATATAAATTTTACATAATTGTGCAGGGCAAATCTCTCTCAAGCGCCTTCTGCAAGAGGCACAATGCTGATGACGATGCTTGTTCTGGAACGGATAATACTAGCTTCATGGAGTGAGCTGGAAGAGCGTTCTGATTCTCGAGGATGTCTCTTCCTGGGATTCCTTAGTTATCAGATTAGTGTGGGAAATGCCTGTGTTACTTACTAAGGTATATATTCTACTGGCTTAGAATGAAGTATGTTTTTACCTGAAGACTTTGTTCTCTGTCTGAGCCAAGATTTCATATTTTATAATTTTACTGAGGGTAATTATTCTCTTTTTTAAACGAGGATTTCATTTTGATTCCTAGATGACTCTCAGTTTTTTTTCTGCCAGCTCTGACCTTGAATGTTGTCACCCATTTTTTTGTTCTCTTCCTCTACAGGGCAGCTCCACTCGGGAATGCCGCTAACATTAAAACAGGCCTATTACAGATGTGTTTCTGCTCTTCCTCCCCTTTCCAAAGCTCCATTAACAGTATTTTCTTGGTCTTCCAAATGTGTAATTCTATATAATTTTCTTTTAAAAAATTACCTGTTAAAAAAATCCACAGATCTTTCTCATTTCTTTAAAATACTTCTTTGATTCCAGTTTTCCCTGTCTTAATTCTGGTCCATTCCTGCCTGATTCACAGGGACAAGGCTTTTCCTAGTTTGTTCTTTCCCAGCTTCTCCCACCCTACTTGTCAATAGCAACATTTGTCATCAAAGTAAGTTTTTATCACGCAGTAGCATTTCTTAGAATTTTGAAGGGCTTTCCAATTCTTTCTTGACATTAACGGTCTTGACTGTAGTTTTCAGTGAGCTCACCAATACTTTAACTTCCACTTCCCTCAATGTCCTAATTAAGTTCTCTACCATTTTCTGGTTTGTTTCCCTTATTGACATGCTCCAAATCCTTCAGTCCATCCCTGCCCGTCTTTGAATTCAGTAGTGTCTCTTTCTGGAGAGAGATCAGCAAATGTTTCACATGTCCCTGTATCTGCCATCTCTTTACCGTGCAAATATGCACACATGCACTCACGTGCATTCTAGTCTCTTCAGAAGAAAGCTGGTCAGCAGTGGGACTCAGGGAGCAGGATTGCAAGGCCAGCTCTTTGCTAATGCACTGCGTAATCTTGGGAAAATCACTTCATCTTGAATGAGCCTCATTTTCCCCACCTGTAAAAAATAGGGTTGGAGAAGACAATTTCTAAGGCTGATCCATCTTTAATATTTTATGATTTGCCTTCCACCAAGAACCCCTTTTTACATTAACGACCCTGCACATCTTCCCCACCTCATTGGTCGCTCAGCTTCCAGGTATTTATGGCTGCCGGGACACACTAGTTTCTCTTTTTTTCTTGAGGAAGATTAGCCCTGGGCTAACTACTGCCAATCCTCCTCTTTTTGCTGAGGAAGACTGGCCCTGAACTAACATCTGTGCCCATCTTCCTCTACTTTATATGTGGGATGCCTACCACAGCATGGCTTTTGCCAAGCGGTGCCATGTCCACACCCAGGATCCGAACGGGCGAATCCTGGGCCACCGAGAAGCAGAACATGCGAACTTAACCGCTGTGCCACCGGGCCGGCCGCTGGGGCACACTAGTTTCTCTCACATGCTTGCTCCTTGGCATGTGCTTGTTATCTGTCTTGTCCCACTATTACATTCTAAGTTCCTGGAATTTGCCTAATGCAGATATAGGGACTATGTTCAAATGTTTGAAAATGAATAGCAAGTCTGTGAAAACTTTACCCACACATTTCTGTTGTGTTCCAAATACTTATCTCTGTGCTGAGATGTACAAATATGATTTCTAATACTGCCTTGAAAGTGTAAACTTGCATCATAAAAAATTGCATTTTCTAGAAATGCAAATCAAAGACACCATGAGATAGCACCTCACATCCATTGGTATGGCTATTATAAAAAAAAAACAAAACAGAAAATAGGTGTTGGCTAGGAGGTGGAGAAATTGTAACCCTTGTGCACTGTTGGTGGGAGTGTAAAACAGTTTTTTTGCTGTGGAAGACAGTATGGTGGTTCTTTAAAAATACAAATACCATATGATTCAGCAATTCCACTTCTCAGTATACATCCAACAGAGTAGAAAGTAGGGTCTTAAAGAGATATTTGTACACCCCTGTTCATAGCAGCACTACTCACAAGAGCCAAGAGGTGGAAGCAATCCAAGTGTCTATAGATGGATGAATGGGTAAACGAAACGTGATATATACAGACAATGGAATGTCATTCAGCCTTAAAAAAGAAGGAAATCCTGTCACATGTTACGACATGGATGAACCTCCAGAACATTATGCTAAGTGAAATAAGCCAGTTACAAGAAGACAAATGCTGTATGAGGTATCTAAAATAGTCAAATTTATAGAAGAATGGCGGTTAGCAGGGCCTACGGGGAGGGAGAAAAAGGGAGTTGCTGTTCAACGGCAGAGAGTTCCAGTTCTGCAAAATGAAGAAGTTGTAGAGTTTGCCCCAGAGGGAGCAGCAAGGACGCGGGTAGGGCTCGGCCTGGCCAACCCTGTGCCCGTGGGAACGACTGGAGTGGGTGGGGAGGGACACGTGGATGGAGGGGGGATGGCAAGAGAAAAGGAGTATGTGACTTAAACGACTATTGCTTTCATTTTAGCCACATAAACTGGAGGATTCATATTTCTAGACAAAAAAGATGTGAGAATGAGTCTTAAAATGATTCTCATTAATCAGAACAGAAAACTTTTTTTTTTTTAGTGAGGAAGCTTGGCCCTGAGCTAACATCTATTGCCAATCTTCCTCTTTTTGCTTGGGAAGATTGTTGCTGAGCTAACATCTGTGCCCATCTTCCTCTATTTTGTATGTGGGATGCCACCACAGCATCGCTTGATGAGTGGTGTGTAGGTCTGCACCCAGGATCCCAACCCTCAAACCGCGGGCTGCTGAAGCCATGCGTGCGAACTTAACCACTATACCCCCGGGCTGGTCCCCAGAAAACTTTTTAAAAGCCACTTGGTTTCAGAAACCTGGTGAGGATCCGTGCACAGACTTCCACATTTGGGCCTTCAGAACAGGGGTCCCCTCAATGTTTGTGATGGTGCAACCTTGTCAATGAAAATTGAGCACACACTCCAAGTGGGTATATATTTATTTATTTATATCATTATATCATTCTACTAATATATTAGCATACATTACAAAACACGCAACAAGAAATAGTAAAGTATGAAGAAAAATTAAACGGAGCTCTAAGGATGCCTCTCTCACCTCAGTGGACGGTCTGCCTCGTCCCTCAGCGGCTGTGGAGAACCCTGCTTTAGAACCCGGGTTTTCAGCCTAATGCTTTCAACTGCAAATGCCTCCACAGACTGCCGTCCGAGGGTCTGTGCAACATTTTCCGGTGAGAGGGCCCACAGGTTTCATAGGATTTCCAAATCGTTCTGTAAGTCATAAACGCTTCACTCTCAGTTTTCTAGAGAACGAACGAAATTACAGCGCTGTTTTTTTAAATCGAGGTGTAATTCACATGGTTAACCATTTTAAAGCGAACAATTCAATGGCATTTAGGGCAGTCACAGTATTGTGCAACCACCACCTCTATCTTATGCCAAAACATTTTCATCACACCCCCCGCAAAACCTGTACAGATTACATAGTTGCTCCCTAATTCCCCTCTCCCTCCAGCCCCTGGGTAGCCATCAGTTTACTTCCCAACTCTGGATTTACCTATTCTGAATGTTTCATATCAATGGGATCACACAATATATGACTTAGTCTGTCTGACTTTTTAGCTTGGCATCATGCATTCGAGGCTCAGATCCTGAGTGTCACAGCAGTCACGATGATGATGATTAGAATGAGAACACAGCAGCACAGGCCGAAGGCCCTGTGTGCAGGCCTCTGGGCTGTGTAGGGATAGAACATCTCGCTTGAGAGGGAGTCCTGGACTCTCTTCTCCTGGCGGTTGGGGTTTGCTCCTGGGCTCCAGGAGGTGGGGAAGCTCGCAGCCTGTGTGGGCGCAGAAACCCAGGGGGTGGGCGCAGAAAACCAGGGGCTGGGTAATACCTTTCCTTTCTTCGCTGCATCCGCGGAGGGGCCACTCCTTGTGGGAGAAGGCTTGTGTGTGGTGATGCTGAGGGAGATAGGTGAGCCTATCGTGAGAAGTGGTGGATACACTGGCGACTGCACGGCCATGCCTGACCCCCGCTGAACACAGAAGCCCTGCAGACATGCCTCGCAGTTGTCACTGTCATGTGGCCCTTCAAGAGAGATTTCTCGGATCATAGGAATCTCTTCAGTCAACTTAAATTCTTCTCCATAGCACTTCTTCAGAATTCGGACCACCAGGTTGTTCAGGATCCTTGAGATGTTCTCATTCGTGAACTCAGGAACCTCAAACGGAGGCTGGGAGCACTTCTGACATCTCTGGGCAAAGACCCTCATCTTCACCCGGCCCCTGGACTTCACCTCACTCCAGTGCATGTGGAAAAGGACCTGAACTCGGGCAGAGGCCCAAGTGCGGGAGCACGAGGAGCACTGGAATCTGTGGACACAGAATACAAGACCTCAGCTTGGTTCAATATGGCCGAAAGGTGGGCTGTGCCAGAGGAAAGAAGGAGCTGCTGACAACACAGAGAGGGACTTGACTGGGGTCCTGGATCAGCAGGGGAAGGAAGTACAGAGAGACTCATTCCTATCTCTATTGTGCCACCAACACGCTCTTTGACCAACAGGTGTCTACCGTGAGAATAGCAAATAGCAATCCATCAGAGCTGGAAGGGATCTTGGGTGACTTCTAAGTCCAACATGATCATTTTAGAGATGAAGCACACACTGGGAACTCGTCATGCCCAGAGACCCAGTGGGTGTAAGAGGCAGGACTAGAACTCCAGTCTTCTGATCCCAAACCAAGGCTTCTTCAAATGCAGATTTAAGCGGGTCCAAGGCTCCAAGAGCAACAGTAGCCATTAAATCAGCCCCAAGAACCCGGAACTGAAATCTACAAATGGATACAAGTGCGTGTTGGTAAGTGCTACAGTCTGAATGCTTGTGTCCCCCCCCAAATTCACAAGCCCAAGGTGATGGTGTTGGAAGGCAGGGTCTTTGGGAGGTGCTTAGGTCATGAGGGTGGAGCCCTTGTGAATGGGATTAGTGCCTTTATAAAAGAGATCCACAGAGCGCCCTAGCTCCTTCTGCCATGTGAGGATATAATGGGAAGTCTGCGACCCAGAAGAGGGCCCTCACCTGACCAGCTGGCACCCTGATCTTAGACTTCCAGCCTCCAGAACTGTGAGCAATACATTTCTGTTGCTTATAAGCTGCCCAGGCTGTGGTACTTTTTAAAATACTGTCTTATGACTAAGACAGTAAGTCACAGACCCACAGATCAGAGAGGGACCCTAAATAGTCCGCTGTCCTCGGGAAAAGCATTGCTTTGTGCCTCAGTTGCCCAGGGCCCCCGATCTGCCAGTATTACAGGGAGATCGCAGTGTCCAGCTCTCTCTTCTTTTGCCCCTCTCCAACCCGATTCATTGCTCAAGGTAGCCTGAAAACCTTTATACACCTCATGCCCCTGGCCTCAGACAGGGTACGAGAGAATGACGCCTCATCTCAGCAGAGAGGAGGGCAACTTTCTGAGCAATAATAGTTGGATGTCAGGACACGACAGGACAGATGGAGAGAAGGGAATCACATGGCTGCCCTCAGGATTGGAATTATGGGACAGCAGAGGGCTGCAGTATGGCAGGGACCTATGGTGTTCGCCAAATTATCCATGCACTGCCTCCCATTTCCCAGCCCCTTTGCCGTTAGGTTGGGGCAACGTGACCGGTTGGCTAATGGGATGTGGGCAGAAGTGATACATGCTACTTGCAGCTCTGGCGCAGAAGCCCTTGGAACATCCTCTAGCTCTCTCTTTCTGTGTTGGTGCCCCTGGGAGCCATGCGTGAGGTTAAATCACTGATATTTCGGGGTTTGTTACAGCAGCCAAGCCTAGCCTTGCCTGGCTTGAAGCACAGGAGCCCATGAAGTCTGCGACGGTGAACTGAGGGGGCTGGCAAGAATGAGTCAGTCGGGTTTCCCTCCTGTATTGATTCTAGCCTCACCTCACAGGGTGAACGTAAGGATGAAACGAAGGGAAGATGCCAAGAAGCTCTGACACTGTGAGTGAGATGATCTTGCTGGGAGCCCTTCAGAAAGTGATGCAAAGGGCCCCGGGCTCTGTTCTGCTGAGCTGAAGTCCCCTGCCCTCCCCCGGGTCATGCTGCTCTGCTCGTGTGCCAGCTCAGAGTTCAAAGTGCTCAGAGAAAAACGAGTTCAGAGTTTGCTATGATGCTGCTGGCGCCGGCTCCTGGCCTGGGAAAACCACAGGTCGCAAGAAGAGGAGAGCTCTGCTTCCTCAGCCCAGACCTTCCCCCAGAGAGGGGACAGCGGGCAGGCAACCAGGCCCTGCCTCAGTCCCGAGATAGAGTCCCCGGCCCCCACCCCCTGTGCAGGTGGACAACCTCCCATCCTTGGGGCTCTGCTTTCCCACCTGGAAAAGAGAAGGTGATTCTTTGGGTGACTTCTAAGTGTCCTATTTTAAGAAGAGCCCATTAGCTCAGAGTAGAAAGCAGTAAGATTGCTGTGTTGCTCAGCTCCGCCTGTCCTCTGCCCCCTCCCTGAGGCGGTCTCCTCAGCGCCCAGGGCCTCTCCCTCATGGGCTCCATGATGGACCCGGGGTCTCCTAAGGCTGGGAACATATGCAGTGAGCTTTGCTCAGCCAGCTCTCCTGCCATTGAGCGAAACAGCCACCATTCCTGCCCTTCTTTTTGCCTCGCTGCCCCTCGCCCTCACTCCTCGCAGCCTCATTTCTCTGAATCTAGGCCTTAGCCCACACCACGGCCCACTCCTGCTATTGTTTGTCGGTTCATTGTAATAAGGAAAAAAACTCTAATGAAGCTAAAACTTCTGATGATAGGCACCTTACTTCCTGTAATCTTCCTGGAATGGAACAAGAAAGGTAACAGGTATACACAGTAAGAAATAAGCAAGAATGTTCTGGAATAGGTATCCCTGTGTTCCCCACTCACCTGGCAAAGCCCCACTGCTGATACTGTGTCCACCCCCGCTTCTGAATGCCGGGAAGAAGGCTCTCATCTAGTCTCAGGGTCCATTTGTGCCATGGTTTCACCTCCTGAATTAATTCCTGAAACACCTGCTTCCACACCTCCTCGTTCTGCCCCATCGCTGCTGCTATGCTGAGCCGGGTGGGTCCAGGTCTCCCGGGCTCTGACGGATCTGTAGCAGGACATGAGGTTTCCCACTTCAGACAGCAAGGGCTCAGATCTGCTCTCCCTTTGTGTACCTGGCCTGGGCCTGGGTACCAGGTCTTTGCCCTGAGGACAAAGGTCAGTTGAGTCTAGCTCCAAGTTCAAAGAGCACTAGGCTCCACAGGGAATTTCAAAAGACACAGAATGCATGGTTTCATCCATCAAAATATCCCCAGAGGAGAGTGCAGGACGCATGTCAGGAGGAGTGGGTCTCAGGCGGGCTCTGCTGTTTACCTACCTCTGACCGGGAACTCAGTCTTTTCCCATCCTTTCTAACATTTGAAAATCCTTGTCCATTGGGCTGCTGTGCTCATGATCAGGGAGCAGAGAACGAAGAGGGATACGGCCGCGATGGAACCTCCCCCGAGTTCCTGTGTCCCTGCTCTGTGTTCTTGACTTCCTCACTCGTGCCGAGTCTCTGTAGGACAGTATTTTGCAGACACTAAGCTGGCCAAGTCAACCCCCAAGGCCAGTCTTCCATGCACTAGAAACCAAAGCTGATGCAGTCCCTGAGATGAGGCTACAAGGTCCCCACATGGGTGACAGGCCAGCGGCCATACCCCAGCGTGCTTCACTATCCCCACTTCCTTGAGGAGAGGCTGGAGAAGGAGAGAGAAGCAGGGGCAGACTACCGGGTGGGTGCTGAAGCAGGCAACAGCCCAGGGAGGGTGGACCAGATTCGGGGTGTCTGCATCACATGGCCCGGTCCACGGACATTGACCTCTGTCGCTGACTACCTCCCAAGAGGAAAGCCTCACCCTTGGCGAGTCCTCCAGCCTGGCAGCCCCCGTCTCAGCTCAGGCCCACATAACAGCCTCTGCCCTGGCCTCCCCACTGGCTCTGGAGCTGTGCTGGCCACTCTCTACACTGCAGCCTGAGGGTCTTTCCAGAGGCAGAAACCCCCACCTACACAGTGCTGCTTAGCGTGGCATCTGGATGCCTCACAGGCTACTCCAGCCAGGCTCATCCTCCCCTAAGCCCATATCCACCCTACACCCTAAACCCCAGCCCCTTGCTCGGTGCCCTCCTCTGAACACTACTGCCATCCCAGCCCGGTGCCTCGCACTCATGTCCACCCCACCCACAGCACCTGCCTTCCCTCCATCACACAGCTCCTGTCCCTGGCCTGGGCCAGCCTCCTGACTGCCGCTGCAGGGAGCAAGCTCAGCGAGGTGACAGGGCTCCCTCCCTCTCCCCACAGCAGAACAAATGCAAACACTCTTCCGCATCACAGAGTAGTTCAGACAGAGCGATGACCAAAACAAAGAATTGGTCTTCCTTTCTGGTCTGAAATCGTGTGTGAAATCGTCATATCTAGTCCTGTTTCATTAAAACAGGTCCTTGAGGGGCCTGGCCCATGGCGGAGTGGTTAAGCTCACGCGCTTCACTTCTGCAGCCCAGGGTTTTGCTGGTTCAGATCCTGGGTGTGGACCTAGCTCCGCTCATCAGGCCATGCTGAGGCGGCGTCCCATATAGCACTGCCGAAGGTCCTACAACTAGAATAAACAACTATGTATTGGGGGGCTTTGGGGAGAAGAAGAAAAAAGAAACATTAGCAACAGATGTTAGCTCAGGGCCAATCTTTAAGAAAAAAAAAGCAAAAAACAAAACAAAGCAAAAAACCTACCATCCTTGAAAGTAATTGTGCAAGGAGCTCTTGAAAGACACCCAGATAGTCGAGTGTTTCTGTGTCACATAAAAGTTCCCTTTAGCCTCTTGCTCTAGTAAGACTATTCTAATTGAAAACTCTGCATTCTTAAATGATAGAAATTTTTGAACATAAGTATTTAAGAATGCGAGAAAGTCTGTCACATTTAAATTAAAATAGGCTAAATGGCTTTCCCCCTATCATGAGTGATGTCATTTACCTGATTTTCCAGAGAATCCTGGGTGGGGGTGGGGGGATGTCAAGGTTTAGGAGAACGCACGCAAGCTCGGCAGGGCTGAAGATAGCTAGATGTTCAGATTTGTCAGAGCAGCCTTCTCTCTTCTCACTGGGACGCTGCTCCTCCCAGCCCCAGAAGCTCCCACTGAATTGGTCCTGGCATCAGCACTTCTAAAGGCCTCCCAAGTGAGTCTACTGCATGGTGATGGTGAGACCACGCTGGGCGGCTGAAGGGAAGGCAAGCCCGGGGAGATCCTGGTCAGCAATCACAGGAGAGGGAACAGACCCACAGCCAAGGTGTCCCTCCCTCCCGCCATGCTGAGGCAGACGCAGCAAGGCTTACGGGAGTTTTTAATGGAGTCAATCTAGGGCTGCCTGGCCGCATCCACTGGCTGGGTCAGATACTTGGCAGCAGGCCACAGGGAGGGACGGTGCGCTCTAGAAGGAAGAGGAGGAGACAGAAGAGGGTGGGAGGGAGGGAGGGAGGAAAGAAAGGAGGGTGGAAAAGGAAAGGGAGCGGTTTGCTGTGGCAGCATTTGGCAGCCTCCCAATCCACCTCCTTCCCACCCTGGCTGCTGCTGCTGCCCCAGAGTTCAGCTGCTTCCTCAGTGGCCTGACCGTGGCAGCCTACTCACCCTCTGGTTTTGTTTCTCAGTATAACTTTGCTCAGATCAGAAATTAACCAGATTTGGGGAGCCCTCTTAGTCAATTTCTCTCTTTCAACTTCTTTCTCTGTGCTCCTCCCACCTACTCTCAACTTCAGGGCAGATTAAGAGGAGATATACAAAGGGGGTGAGGTGCAGGGGAGAGAATCTGGATGGGAGGCAGAGGGTCTTTGGTCTGGGGCCCTGATCAGCGGTGTGACAGAGGACAAGTCACTTCAGGCTTTTTGAGGATGAAATGCTTGACAAAAACAATTTCCAGGACTTCATTTGGAACACGCTGAACTCTCACAGAGACCCATCCCCCCTGGAAACGGATGTTTCTACACATAAATACAAGTTTGTCTCACTGCCTCTTATCTGGCCAGGGTTGGCTGGGCTCTGTCACTCCCTTCCTCGCGGGGAATGGCTGTGGCACATCCCTGCACATCATCTCAGCTTCTAACCCAGAGGCCATTCGCCCTCAGGCAGGGTCAGGGCTCAGCCTGGACACTCGCTGTCGCTCTTTCTGAACACTGGGCTGGGTCCTGGGCCTGCTGCTGCAGGGAGGCCATCTCTGAAAGCTTGGGACATGCACAGAGCAGGAAAAATTTGAGTCACTCAACACCCACATTCCCAGCGGAAATCAAACTGCCTTCTTGTTTTATCTCATATTGTAAACGTGTCCTTTTCGCGGTCTATTTGTACTATAGTTTTAGAATTTTTGTTGGTGAGTTTGTGTTCTAAGTGGTCCTGAAGCGCCCTGTTGAAGTGCTGTCTAGTGTTCTTAAGCACGGAAGGCTGTGATGTGCCTTACGGAGAAAATGGGTGCGTTAGATAATGTCCATTCAGGCATGAGTCACAGTGCTATTGGCTGTGAGGTCAATGTCAATGAATCAACAATATATACAAAATAAAATATCTTTAAATAGAAACAACATAAGGTTATATATTGATCAGTTCACCAAAGTGTTGTTACCAGAGGCTCCCTGGGACCTAACTCTGCATTTCCCCTGGGAGCAATGTTTCAGTATTTGCTAATTCAGTGTGTGTGGCAACATTATAGAGCAGAACCACTGTAAATAACAAGAATGGACTGTATTCCCCTTTGTCCACCCAGTGGTTTGCCTTCCCTCCGGCCTTTCTATGGCAGGGGCTGGGTTGGCAAGGTTAAATCACTTCTGAGCCTGCTCCCACCCTGTGTGTAGGGCCTGGGTCTTGCTTGATCAGCAGAAACCCCCAGATCCATTGCAACCATGTGTCCTTCTGGCTCCCTTCTGGGCAGGCAGCCTAGCTACAGGGATTTGTAACGATCTGGGCCTGGCCAGCCCAGATCCTCCCTTATCCCACGAGAAGAACATTGCATCTTACAGGGACAGAGAGCCCCTCCATGTGAGCTACTGTTCTGGGAACGCTGTTGTTACCAAGGACAGCCCTTTGGCAAGCATGCAGCCTTGGTCTCTCTGCCTACTTGAGCAAGCTTCTCTTGGGGGGCGGTTGCGAGCCTTCACATTACTTCCGTCCAGCCGGCCGCCATTGGACACTGTTCCTGTAAGTAAGGCCCAATAAACCTGTATGTCTCCTTCGCAGTCTCCAGTTTGTTTCTTCAGTCTGTTGGCACAATACTCAGCCGCCCTAGCCCAGCTGGACTTGGGGCGGAACACTATGACCCAGTTTTTGTCCAGAACATTGCTAACTGCTAGTATAGTTGGCTAGTAGCATTTGACCCTGCAGGATCTCCAGTCCTCTGCCAGCCTGCATCTTACATCTATGTCACAGAGATCAGAGTCCACAGTGGCAGCTTTTTACCAGCCTGGCTTCTAAACAGGTGGTTAGGAACAACAGGAAGGCCTCCATGCACTCCCTCACTCTGGCTATAAATGATAGAATCCACTGGAAATCTAGCCATTTTCTTTTCTTCTTCTTTTCCCCAAAGCCCCCCAGTACATAGTTGTGTATTCTAGTTGTAGGTCTTTCTGGTTCTGCTATGTGGCTGGATGAGCAGTGCTAAGTCTGTGCCCAGGATCCGAACTGGCAAAGCCCTGGGCCGCTGAAGCAGAACGCACAAACCCAACCACTCAGCCACAGGGCTGGCCCCAGATCTAGCCATTTCTGACTGCAATTTCTTTTTATGCCAGTGTACCAAATTCCCTGGAGTTTGGAGAACGGTGGATGTATTCCAGGAAAGCAGCTCCACTCCATCCTCAGCTCAGTGCTTTCCAACCTGATTTCCGACTTCTAGCCTCCAGGACTGTAAGAGAATACATTTTCATTGTCTCCAGCCGCCCAGCCTGTGGCGATTTGTAAGGCAGCCCCAGGAAACTAATACAGAGGGGTTTAAGCCCTGCTGGCCTTTCCCCACTGTCTGAGGGTTGGGGCCACCTGCTTGCTTTTCCAGCAGGTACAAGGACGAGGAAGCAACTTCAGCATGTAGCGTGTTCCTTCCTTTTCCTACCTCCCACCACGTCCTCATTATTTGTTGGAATGATGAGCGGGGACCTTCATTATTTGTTGGCTGGACAATTTTAATAGTCCCTTAACTCACATTCTTTCCCTAGCATTCCCTCTCAAAAATCATCCTTTACAGAGTTGCCAAAGAACTCTCTTTAACATCCAAATGCCATGCCCAGGCCACGCTGGCTGCCTCACTCTTCCTCGAACATGATGAACTGGAGCATGGGCCACTCAGTTACTTCCTCCGTGTCGCCCTCAAATGTCACCTTAGTAGGGAGGTCTTCCTTAATTTCCCGAGATGCGACCTCCTCTCCCACACTCTTTCCCTCTCACATTCTATGTTTGTCCTTTTGTTTGTTTGTTTTAAAATTTCATCCCAGCATAGACTTAGTTTCTAGGGAACCGCCAGTCTAAATAGGAGAGCAGGCAAAGTCCGTTCACTGGAACGGTGCCTGGGTGCTCGATAATTACTTGAATAAATGTTGCATGAATTCCGTCCACCTTCTGTTACCCTCTGTAGAACTATCCCAATCTGGGGTCAGTGTGGGAGGAGGGGGGTTGAGGATGGTCCTGCGATCGTTCTTATCACAGTTTTTAGAGGGCAGCTGTCCACGGTTTCTGGACCTGTGCTTTCTCTGGGGGATCATTTGTGTTTCCTCTCTGATAACTTGCCTCTTTCTTTTGGGTCTTCCTGGGACGTGTCCCATTCCCGATGTGGTCATCCTTAAACAGTTCCCTCTGTTTGGTCAAGGAAGGCCTCTTTTCTCTTTCAAACCTGGCCATCTTGGCCTCTATGACCTTATTCCCCAAAGATATTATTCCGTAAGTCAAGTTTAATAAAAAAATGCCTTCCACTATTTTTCTTTCATTTTGCACTGCTCTTGTGATAAATGCAAGAGCAAAAAAAAAAAAACAAAAAAAAAACTTTATAAACCAATTTAGTTCTTCCTTGAGACTGATAAAATCCTAACCAGTCTCCTAATCAGTAATTCCTAGGGACAGACTTTCCCATCCTTGGGACTTTTCAAAGTTCTATTTGAACCACTAGTTTTATTTTCATTCAGCTGAGGGTTTTTTTTACTTCAACCCAGTAAAATGACTTGCTCTTTATATTATAAAAGTTTCCATTTACTGATGTGAAAATTAATAAAGGGAAACCTCATTTAAAAATGGAGTCAGGAGGCCAGAAGGGGGAGCTCTCATGCAGTACCTCTCAAGGTCAGTTATGGGAAAGACAGCCAATTACAGACCCCAACAGAAAGAATTTGTCAACAGGAAGACAGTCAATTACAGTCCCCAACAGAAGTTGTCAGAAGGAAAGAATAGTCAATTACGGGAAGAAATCTACATTGCATCCCAAGCAGAAATCGACTACCCCAATGAGAACACATCATCACCTTGAACTCTTGCTTTCCTCCAATGGACTTTCATTCAAAACAATCCCTCCCAATTTCCTTCTTTTTCTCTATAAAATAATGTTCCTTTTCCTTGTTTATTGAGTTTGCCTATGGTCGGCCATAGCGTGCGTATCCCAAATTGCAATCCTTTGGCTATTCATGAATAAACACGTTTAATTGGTAAAAGAACTGGCTGTTTTATTTTTAAGGTTGACACTGATTATCTGTTCATTGACTGAAATTCATCATCCTTCTGAGTTAAAATTCGCAGCCTGGACCAGGGCTTATGTAATGAGCAGTCCAGAACCGACGTGAGACCAAGTGACTGGCTACATGAATCCCTTCCCCGGCACAGCCGTTGAGGGACCTCAGTGGCACCTACTAACGTCTAGATGAGATGTACAGGCTACAGCTGTGCACAGGGCTGCTCTGAGGCCCCGAGGTGCTGACTCCGCAGAGCCCCCACCTGCTCCTGCCATGAAAATGGGGAACCCCCAGAGTGGGCAGTGGCCCTCACTGTTCAGTCCCTTTGCCTTCTCTTGGAGCATGTTTATTTGTGTTTTGAGTTTATTTTTTTCATAATTCTGTTGTTAATGATGCAAAAAAAGTGAAAATGTATATGACTATTATTTTAAAGTAAACATTATTATTAAAATGTCTAACACAGCCCCTCCTTCTGTTAAAGTAGTTAAACAAGGAGTCCATTGGACTGAAGTGGCTCTGATAGTCACCTTGGTCACCTAGGTAAGCAAACAAAACCTAAGCCAGAGTCAAAGCCCTGGAATCTGGGAAAACGAAACTTAGGAACAATCAATCACAACAAGCCAACTAGGCTTTGCCGACTTAGGCAACTGCTTAAGCTATAGCCAACCAAATAATTTCCTTGCTGAGCTTCTCGTCTTCTCTATAAAAATCTCGC